CCCGCCTCGCCCCCGAGGGGCCCGGGAACCTCCCCCTGTACTACCCGGGCCAGGGGGGCAAAGGTGGGCACAAGCTGCCGGGCCAGGGGGCAGCGAGCTGCGGGGGGAGCGGGCACTACGGCCCGGAGGGACTCAAGGGCACCTCCTGTTACTACCTGGACTCGGGCGAGCAGGTGGCCAACAGCCTGGACTCGCTGGACCTGGAGAACACGCACCTTGACTTCGCTGCCATCGTGGAGGACGTGGAGACCCCCGCAGCACTGCCCGGACCCCCCAGCCCGGCCGGGGGGCTCCTGCTGCCCTCGGCTGGGGGGGCAAACATGGCAGTGGGGGATATGAGCTCCATGCTGAGCACGTTGGCAGGGGAGAGCCACTTCCTCAACTCCCTGTCCTAACGGGGGGTACCTGCCCTCAGGTGGGCGCCTCTGTGCCCGGGGGGCGCCTTGGGGAATCCTCACACGCAGCTTTGTGCCTGGGGGAAGCGGGGAACACCCCTGGAGCCCCCCCTTCTCCAGTCTCGGAGTGTCACCCTCGTGCAGGAGGGGTCCCAGACACTGCCGCGACCCTCCAGGTGACCTCTGGCGTGGGGAACTGGTTTTACTGGGCCCTTACTGCGGTGCCTCGGGGCGCAGCCTGAACGCCGAAACCAAAGAGCCCCCGCCCTGCGGGCCGGCCCCATCCCAGTGCTCCCAGTGCCCCCCACCCCAAATCCCAGTCTGTCAGGACTGCAAGCGCCCCCAGCCCTGCTCCAGGGGGGCAGTTCCCCGGGGGTGGGACGGGGGGTGCCTGTACATAGTGTTCATAGCTGTCTGTCTGTCTGTCTGTCTGTCCCTCCTGCCTGTGAGAGCACCAGCGGTGCCGCCCCCTCCCCTCATTAAACCCTTTCTCAGGGGACTTTGTGTGTTTGTCACCGGGGGATTCCGGCTCCATCCTGTCCTGGGGAGGGGTGGACAGGACATTCCTTGGTCCTCTGTGACCAAAACCCCCCTGGCAGCATCTTCCCCACCCTCAATCAGGGATCCAAAGCTGTTCCCGAGGTGCTGCCGTGACCCAGAGCGAGCGATACTGCAATTAGTGCTTCAAATAATGCAAACGCCTTAAAATAATGCTATTAATTATGCAAAAAAAAAAATAGGTTAAAATGATTCGATTTTCATGCGGAAAATTACCTAGGATAACGTAATTAATCATGGGGGAAAAAACCAGCCTAAAATAATGCGGGTTTATATTATTTTGTTCATGTAATTAATGGTGCAAAAATTGCATAAAATAATGCAATTAATGATGCCAAAATTCCATGAAATTATGCAATTTTGTATAATTTGCTATAACGCAATAATGCAAAAAAGTTCTTAAAATAACGCAATTAATGATAATAACACCAAAAAAATGCAATAATGCAACATTTGCTTAAAATAATGCAATTATGTGTGGAAGATTTATTTAAATAACGCAACTGTGCATAATTTGCTTAAAATAATTCAATCAGTGGCGCGAAAAACGCTGAAAACGATGAAACAGTGCAAAAAAAAAAAATTAATTGCTTAAAATAGCAAAACTAATGAGCAGATTTTGCATTAACGCAATTTTGCATAGTTCGGTTGAAGTAACGCGATTAAGCATGCAAAAAAAAAAAATTTTAAATAATGCAATCATAGCAATCAGGGTGTTTCCCCCGCACACCCAGAGCCTCGTCACGCTGTAATTAAGCAGTAATTAACAGGTAATTAAGCCGCGGCAGCGGGCTGCTGGCGCTCTCTGGCGGTCCCGGTAAGGAATGAGATCCTGCGAGGCTCCGGGGGCACCGATTCGGCTCCGGACGGAGATTCCGTGGAGCCCCCCGGGATACCGGGAGTGCCCGTGGCGCCTCTGGAAGTCGCGGGGTCCCGGGAGGGAGCGGAACCGCCGGGGATTCAGAGTTCAGGGGGTTGAGTTCGGTTCCTCCGAGGCGGTGACAGCGCTCGGGTGTCACCGGAGCCGCCAAGCCCGGGGGCAGCCGGTGCCGGTTCCAGTGACGGGAGGGGAGGTGAGACCCCCGGAGTGGGAGTTGTGGCGGTGGAAAGGGGTCCTGGGACAGAGCAGGACCCCGGATCCCCCCTCAGCCGGGCTCTGTTCCCTTTCTGCCGCACTCCCCGGGGCAGGGACACGGCAGGGACAACGCTTGGATGTCACCGGAGCCGCCAGCCCCGGGGACAGCCGGTGCCAGCTCCGACCGGGACCCCCTCGGGCCCAGGGCAGCACGGGGAACACCCGATATTAAACACAGCTGGGGTTGTGGTTGGGAGAACAATAAATAGCGATAAATAATGGGGGGACAAGGCACAGGGACAGACTGCAAAGGCACAGGGACACGGCACAGCGCTGTCCCGTGGTGCTGACAGCAGAAATAGGAACTGGGGCATTCCCAGCCGCCCTGATCTGCTCCGTGCCCAGCCCAGGACGCAGCAGGGTCTGGCAAAACCCCCCCCGTGGGCTCGGGGCCATCGCAGCAGCTCCTCTCTGTCACTTCCCCGCTCGCTCCTTGTGCGACTCGGTCACCACTTGCTGCAAGAGGAGGATTTGGGGATCGGTCCCACGGCAGGGTTGGGCCTCCCAGTCTCCTCCTCCTCCAATTCTCACCTGCCCGTCCCGTGTCTCGATGGTTTTGATGAGCACCATCCTCCGTGCCGGGCTCTCGGCAGCTTGGGGCTCCAGCACTGGGACAGAGGGGCCATCAGCACCTCCCAGACAGCCAGGACAGGAGCCCAGGGACCCACCCACACCCACACAGGGCCTCAACCCCCAAGGAAAGATCCCCAGGCATAGTGAGGGACCCTCAGTTTGTCGCTCACCTGAGCTTCTCGTGCTGAAGGAGGTGGTGGGGTGCAGTGGGATGGTGATCCTGGGGGGAGAGGGGGATGAGGAGGGTCTGGGACTCCTGGGCATTGCCAGTGACCCTTGGCCCTTCCACACTTGCAGTCTATGACCCACATCCCAGCTGAGCTGGGGGCTGCCCGTGGGCTGCCGGGCCGGCACCCGGAGCTGAGCTGGAGGCAACTCCCCCACCAACCCCCGGCCTTGCCTTTATCTGAACAGCAAGAAGCTCCCATGGGAACCTCTTGTTTTCCTGTGGGATCAAGGCCTGGAGCTGCCTCCTCCCGAGAAAATGCCACAATAACCGGGCTGACTCAACACGGGGGACCTTCCCCTCCCCAAGCAGGGGGGAGACGCCAGGCTCCCCTCACCGGCTCTCCTCGCCCTCCAGCAGCTTGCGGTATGTGGCAATCTCGATGTCCAGGGCCATCTTGACGTTGAGCAGGTCCTGGTACTCTCGCAGGTGCCGTGCCATCTCCTCCTTCATCTGCTGGATCTCCTGCTCCAGCCTCCCCACCACGTCCTGGTAGTTCCCGATCTCCTCCCCGAACTCATCCTCCATCTCCCGCATCTGCCGTTGCAGCGCCTCGTTCTGCAGGGGAAGAAGGGGCTGCAAGGGGCTGGGGTGGGGCACCTGGTTCTTGCACCTCCCCAAACACTGCCCGGCTCTCACCACGCCCTTCAGCCCGTCCACCTCGCAGGTCAGGCTCTGGATCTGCCGCCGGGACTCGTTCATCTCCTGCTTGGCCAGCCGCAGCGCCTCGTGGTTACGGTTTGCTGCGTCCGAGAGGTCGGCAAACTGCATGGGCCAGGAGAGTCAGGGCTCTGGGATGGCTGAGCCCCCCAAAATCCCTCCCAGCCCCGGGTACCTTTGACTTGTACCATTCCTCGGCTTCCTGGAGGTTCTTGACAGCGATGCTCTCGTACTGGGTGCGGATTTCCCGCAGCGCAGCCGTCAGCTCTGGTTTGCAGACCTGCACCTCCGGCAGCCCCGCCGGGCTCGGGG